GGAGAACCTCCCTCGACCTGCTGGCCACACTCTTCTTGATGCACCCCAGGATCCCATTGGCCTTCTTGGCAACCAGGGCACACTGCTGGCTCATGGTTAACCTGTTGTTCACCAGCACACCCAAGTCCCTCTCCGCAGAGCTGCTCTCCAGCAGGTCCGCCCCAGCCTGTACTGGTGCATGGGGTTGTTCCTCCCCAGGTGCAGGACCCTGCACTTGCCCTTTTTGAACTTCATCAGATGCCTCTGCGCCCAACTCTCCAGCCTATCCAGGTCACGCTGAATGGCAGCACAGGCTGCTAGTGTATCCACCCCTCGTCCCAGCTTTGTGTCATCAGCAGACTTGCTGAGGGTACACTCTAACTCTTCATCCAGGTGTGGAAGCCTCTTCTGGGTTCTGAATTCACTGATTCACTGGCTAAAGGGACAGAACTTAGCTAACAGCTTGTATCAGTCCCTATTCAAAGTAGAGCTTCAAGGCTGGGAGAACTTTCTTTACTAGCAACTGGCAAAAAACCCCACACCTTCAAAACTTGGTTTAAAGAATTCAGCAGCTGAATCCACTGCTACTACTAGCTGAGTTCTGTGTATTCTTTTTCTTACTATTAACAGTTTTTCAATGCAAATGATTGGTTTGCATGTGGAAATTCAAGCCTTGGATGTTGACATCAGGATAAATACTGAAGACCTTTTTATTTAAAGCTTTATAGGATTGATTGCTAACATAAGGAGCATACAGCTGAAAAATGTAATTTATGTAGGATTAATTGTGTTGCGGAAGATGTGGTGTTGATTTACCTAGCAAATAGATGGAAAAAACTTACAGATCTGAAGAGAAACATTCAGTTGATGTTCTAAAATATGCAAATACGCAGCCATCAAACAAAAGCCTATTTAATTTTCAAATAAACCTCGAGCCATCTAAATAAGGAATCATGGTTTAGGACCTGTTGTATCTATGGAAAATGTTTTTTAGAATAAGGGTTAGAATGCTGAAGACCTTGCAGCTGCTGTTTTCAGTGGCTTGCTTCTAATGCATGCTGAAACCATATGGATTACTGAAGTGCAGCTGAGGTTTAATAAAAAATTCCTTGTCTTATCTCTTTCTTTACAGACTTGCTACAAGTATTACATGAGCGATGACATTAGCCGTGATTCAGATGGAATGGATGAACAGTGTAGGTAAGTGTGCAAAAACTGAAAGAACACTCACAGCTCTTTTGTTTTGTTTTGTTCTTGCAATAATGAAACGATTGACAAATAAAGATCAGCACGTAAGAGCTTAATCAACAATTCTTTCTCACCAAGAAGTGCTCAAGCCCAGGGTTTGTGTCAATACTGGATTGTTGTTTTAGTAATTAACAGGAGAACATTTTATAAAGAAATCCAGTAGCAAACACTTGTAAGATATCACATTTCCAACTGAAGAACACGCCGCTTCAAAGGTGGGGATAAAATCTGGCATTCTGAACCTTCTGAGCCACAGAAACTTACTTTTCCAGATGCATCTCCCACTTTGGAAATTCTAAAGTACTTCTCTGACCCTAGGTCAAATAGGTAAATGTGTAATCCAGTCAAGACTGTGTGGTCTGTGATGCCTGTGAGCTTACTTGCCTGCCACTTTTCAGGTCTTCATCAAAGGCTGCAATATAGACATAGACCAAAAAACATTTCTTTTTTTCTTTTTGATACGTGCCTGCAGTAGTAACATACCAGTTAAGGCTAGAAAGACTTAAGCTAATGTGTTTTGCTGTACAATATAAGAAATCACTTTTTTGTGTATTAATTCTTGGAAGAAACGTAATTAGTTTTTTTTCTCTTATTTAAAATTGGTGCTGAAATTGTGTTTGGATTTTACTGACTGCTTCCGCTTTGTGAACTGTTAATCTAATGCTTTGATTTTCTGACTTTTCAATTCTCAGTTGAATGCTTTTCAGTCATGCTTTTTATAATTTTTCAATTAATGGATATCTGTTCATCACCTGAAGTTTTAAAATGCGAATTCTTTATCAAATAGTGAAAAATATGTGAACTCGAATTTGTCACCGTGTTGATGTGGATATGAGACTCTTAACATTTCTTACGTCTCGTTTCAGGTGGTGTGCTGAAGGTGGAAATTTGATTTGCTGTGACTTTTGCCATAACGCCTTCTGTAAAAAGTGCATTTTGCGCAACCTGGGTCGAAAGGAGCTATCAACTATACTGGATGAAAATAACCAGTGGCACTGCTATATTTGCCATCCAGAGCCTTTGTTGGACTTGGTCACTGCATGTGACAGTGTCTTTGAAAATTTAGAACAGTTACTGCAACAAAACAAAAAAAAGATCAGAGTTGAAAGTGAAAAAAGTAAAATGTATGACCATACAGTCAAGTTTTCTCCAAAGAGAAATAATTCAAATTGTAATGGTGAAGAAAAAAAACTAGATGATTCATATTCAGGTTCAGTAACATATTCTTATAAAGCACTAATGGTGCCAAAAGACTTGCTGAAGAAAACAAAAAAGCTGGTTGAAACTACAGCAAATCTGAATTCTAGCTTTGTAAGCTTTTTGAAAAACGCTACAGAAAATGTAGAAATAAGCCCAACTGTGCAACTTTGTCAGCTAAAAGCTTTTAAATCTGTGTTGAATGACATGAAAAAAGCTCATCTGGCACTAGAAGAAGGTCTGAACCTGGAGATTCAAGCTTTCAATATTAAAATCAAAGATAAAAATACCAAAGAGAAAAAAACTGATATTAGATCAGAAAAAAATGAGGTGAGAACAGATGAAGGAAACGAACACGTGACATTAAAAGAGGATGACACTGTAAAGACACAGAAAAAAGTTGTGTCGGAACAGCCTGACAGTGAGGCTATGGATCAAAGTGTTCCAGCAACAGAACAAATGGATAACAAGCGTAGTTCTGGTGAAGATAAAAGGTCTGGCAGAAGTGAAGAACCTCAATATGAACCTAACAGTACAGAGGCTTTAGACATGGATATAGTGTCCATTCCCTCGTCTGTTCCTGAAGATATTTTTGAGACTCTAGAATCTGCTATGGAGATTCAGGTTACGTCAGATGAGCAAGACAGCAGAAATACAGGAGCAGATCATGAGACTCTAAATACAAATGTAAAATTGAACACTTCTATGAAAGATACCAAAGGCGGTACTAAGTTAAAATCGTCGGCTAAAGGCACAAAAGAACTGGTTGTAAAATTGACTCCTGTTTCCCTGTCGGAGTCTACAGTTAAAGCTGAAGATCAAGACAGCAATGTAGAAAAGGGAAGTAAGGATGTCAATGTGATATCTAGAGCAGAAAACTGTGATTCTGTAAAACAAAATCATCATGCTGGCAGTGAACCTTCCACAGAGAATGAAACCATCTCAGTTGTAGAGGAATCTGATCTCAGGAGATCGCCGCGTGTGAAGACCACACCTCTGAGGCGCCAAGCAGACATCAGTCCTTTAACGTCTAATTCGGAAGAAGATAGCAATGACACATGTAGTGAAAACTGTAAGAGAAAATCATCAAAACAACCAAGGAGGAAAAATGATAAAAGAAATTCTTCTGACAGTACGGTTAATGGTCCTAGCCCTAATAAACTTTCTAAGTCAAAAAAACCATATGTATTAGATCATAGCTCAGATTCTGATGAGATGCCAGCTGTTCTTAAAGAAGTAGCTATGATGAGTCACAGTTCTTCAGATATTGATAGCAATAATGAGGTGCCAACAAATGATCAGAAGACTTTAAATTTTCTAAAGAATCAACCAGTAAAGGATGAAAACGGAAAGCGAAAAAGAAAAAGTTCCAGTTCTGGTTCAGATTTAGATGCTAAAAGAGGCAAATCGGCTAAAAATTCCGCTGTTGCTAAAAAGAAACGACAAAACTATTCAGATTCTTCGAACTATGATTCTGAGCTAGAAAAAGAAATAAAAATTTTGAGTAAAATTGAGTCTGCAAAAAAATCTAAGAAAAAATACTCACGAAAAGAAGATAGTTATGATTCCTCTGGAGAAGAGCAGAGGAAAAAAGTGAGTAGTAAGAGAAAGATAAATGTGAAGAAGCAGAGAGAGAAGTCTTCTGAAGATGACGATGCTGAGAAGTCTTCCCCGGAGAAGGAGATTAATCATTCTGCTAAAGATAAAAGAATTGGTAAGGGGTCAGCTGCTAAGGAAAGGATAAACAGAGACTTGAAGGAAAAAACTGTGAAGGTAGAGCACAATGAGTCTTCTGATGCTGAGAAGTCTTTACTGGAGAAAGAGGAGAGTTGTCCTAAAGGTGTAGAGCTAACTGAAGTTAAGAAGAGCAAGGATTTGAAAAAGAAAAAGGCACAGCAGGATTCCTCTTCGGAGAGTACTGAGAAATCTGCAAAGAAAGAGCATGATTTTGATTCTTCAAAAGACAGGTTCAAGAATAAAAAAGGATCAGAAAGCAAAGCAAAGAAATCTGAAAGACTGAAAAAGAAAACTTACAAGAAAGAAAAAGATGATTCAATGACAAAACTAAAGATGAACAAGTGTTTAAAGAAAGGAAAAGGAGGAATTTAAGAGAGAGAATGTCGAAAAGAGTCCAGCTTGATTTATCCTCTGATGCTGAGAAATCTCCCCTAAAAGATGAGAGTTTTTCTGACAATGCTGTGCAGAGCAAAAAACAAACTAAAGAAAAGAAAAAAATAAATCACAAAAAGAAAATTTCCAAGAAAGAACAGGATGATTCATTGTCCTCTTCTGATGAGGAGTCTTACGAAGACAGTAAGAAAAAGATTAAAAGAGGGTCAATAAAAGAAAGTAAAAAGAGTAACTTAAAAAAGAAGGTGGCAAAAAAGAAGATGGTTTTCACATCCTCTTCCTCATCTGATAAGGAAGAAAATGATGAACAGAATTCAACAGGTGATGGAAGCAGTGATGAGCAGAAAATTATGCCAGTGACTGAAAACTTAATACTGTCTGCTGGTACAGGATTTTGTCAGTCATCAGGTGTGCAAAAGATGTTCATCTCCATGTATTACTAACTCATTAATAGAGAAAGGTTTTGAGATTTGGGTAACATTTAATAAGCTAGAAGTGAAAATATTCATAAGCAGGTAATTACACGTTTAAGTATTTGCAGCCAGTTAGGGTTTCTGATGATGGTGTGGAAGCACCCGTTTCAATTTGTGGAGCTTGTCACTTGTGGAAAAAAGGATGTTGCTGTAAATGGCGAGGTTTGAGAAGCTACAGTCTGTAATTCCAGCAGGGATTGCCTCGCAGCACAGCTTGCAAAAGCCTGTTCCTCTCTTTGGCTGCCCAGGTACTATTTAGCAGAAACTGGTTGTAAGCAGTATCTCGTGAACTCGGATTTGTCAGTTCATGGTGATAAACTAGAGATGACTCTGAAGACTTGTGCTATTCTGGTATATATTTGAAAAATCAAGTAAGTGATCTTTGTGCCTCATGAGATCCATGTAGCCTTAGAGCAGCTGGTGTCAGTTAACAGAAATCTGTCATCACTTACTGTTTTCATAGCAGGGTTAATAGTTCTTGCTAAGATAGAACTACTTCCGGGTTGTTAGGAAGTTAGAAAGAAATTCAGAACTGCTGAATTTGAACACCTGGTTTTAAAGCACGTAAAAAGGAAGAGCAGTTTTCACATTAAGTATGAATAAAACAGCAATGTGTTTATGAAGATAGAAGAAGGGACATAGTTGCATTTTGGCTTTCCCAAAAAGCCCTTGTAGGTAGACACTAAATGCAAAAATGAGATGATTCTTGTTTGTAGTTTCTTAAAAAAAACCAACCCAAAACAAGAAAAACACCCACCATGAAACAAAACACACAGATTTTAAATTAAACATAATGTTCTTCCTTTTTCCTCCCAGCTTGATGCTGGCACACTTTTTCCCTAAGTTTTCCTGCAGTTTAGTTTTTTAGAGGGTTGTTAGTGTCTTGCGTGTGGTAGCTGCCATGGCTGTGGAAACACTGCCTGTAGATAGACAATTGATGATACTCAGTGAAAGTAACCCTTATGCAACAGTTCTCAGCATTGCTGGACCACCAAAGAAAAATACTTTAAAAATAAAATTGCTGCTGTGCAGTGTATGTTCATGGACTTGGTATTGAAATGACCCAGGAGGAAAAAGCTGGATGTAATATATCAGAAGGTGTCTGAGGCATTGAGAGTGTTTTTGATTTGCAAGTCAGAAGTGTAAAGACTGCATAATTAATCAGATGGGAAAGATGGTTAACAGTGTACGAATTGGAAAAACGAGGTGGTGATGTGGGGTAATTGACAGTAGAGTTAGACTGAGAGAGAAGTGGGTTGGTTTAGCCTGGAGAGAGGATGCTAAAAATGGGGAGTCTTAATTGCTGTTTTCTTATCACCTAATGGGTAGTTATAGAGAAGGCTGAGCCAGATGCATGACGAAAGGATAAGAGGCCATGGATACAGGCTTTGGCAAGGAGAACTCTGTTTAGGGTGGTGAAACGCTGGCACAGGTTGCGCAGAGACATAGTGGAGGCCCTATCCCTAGGACCATTCAAGGTCAGGTTGGACAGGGCTCTGTGCAACATGATCAAGTTGAAGATGTCCCTGCTCACTGCAGGGGGGTCAGGCTAGATGGCCTCTAAAGGTCCCTTCCAACCCAAACCATTCTGTGATTCAGTGATTCTAGATACTAGGAAAAAGTGCTTTACACTGAGGATGGTCAAAGCCTGAAACTGGTTGCCCTGTGAAATTCTGGAATCCCTGTCCTAAGAAATACTGAAAACTTGACTGGTCAAGGCCTTGGGAAAACTGACCTCACTTTGGAGTTAGCTCTGCGTTGAGTATGGAGCTGGAGGAGATTATGCCCAGAGATCTCTTCCAACCTCAGTTATTGTACGATTCTATGAGAATCTGCCATTGTTATGTTATCTTAAGAGAAGGCAACCTTGCCCTTTCTCTTCATTCTCTTCATTCTGCTTTTGGCTTAGTAGGTGAATAAATTTCTGTGTCTGAAGAAGCTATGTAGTTGGATCACAGAATCACAGAATAGTAGGGGTTGGAAGGGACCTCTGTGGGTCACCCAGTCCAACCCTCCTGCCGAAGCAGGGTCACCTACAGCAGGCTGCACGGGACCTTGTCCAGGCGGGTCTTGAATATCTCCAGAGAAGGAGACTCCACAACCTCCCTGGGCAGCCTGGGCCAGGGCTCCGTCACCCTCAGAGGGAAGAAGTTCTTCCTCATGTTCAGACGGAACTTCCTGTGCCTCAGTTTGTGCCCATTGCCCCTTGTCCTGTCACTGGGCACCACTGAAAAGAGCTTGGCCCCATCCTCCTGACACCCACCCTTCAGATATTTGTAGGCATTTATAAGGTCCCCTCGCAGCCTTCTCTTCCTCAGGCTGAACAAGCCCAGTTCCCTCAACCTCTCCTCGTAGGGGAGATGCTCCAGTCCCCTCACCATCCTCGTAGCCCTAAAGTCAAAAATTTGCAGTGCTGTATGCTCCTTGCATGCCCCTATGAGAGGGTGTGAGGCATAACCAGGACAGAAGTTTGGGCACCTCTATGCTGCTACATAAGAACTAGGAAGAAAAGATGACTGAAGGGTAACGGTCTGCTCACTTTTTCGAGTTTGTTAAATTAGAAGGGGAAACGTCCCTCCCATCTACATTACAGCAAACTGAGTTTGCTGTTTTACCGGATTGCTGTTAGCAAGACTTACAGCAAATCTTGTTGCATAATGTTTTTGTCGTTGATGAAGAAGTTAAACAAGACTGGGCCCAGTACTGACCCCTGGGGGACACCACTTGTTACCAGCCTCCAACTAGACTCAGCGCCGCTGATGACAACCCTCTGAGTTCTGCCATTCAGCCAGTTCTCTATCCACTTCACCGACCACTCATCCAACCCACACTTCCTCAGCTTCCCTAGGAGGATATAATGGGAGACTGTGTCGAAAGCCTTGCTGAAGTCAAGGTAGACAACATCCACGGCTCTCCCTTTGTCTACCCAGCCAGTCATGTCATCGTAGAAAGCTATTAGATTGGTTAGGCATGATTTCCCCTTGGTGAATCCATGCTGACTACTCCTGATAACCTTCTTTTCTTCCACTTGTTTGATGATGGCCTCCAGGATAAGCTGCTCCATCACCTTTCCCCGGATGGAGGTGAGGATCATTGAATGAGACTTAGAATCTGATTTAACCAACAGGATACTTCTGTTTAGCTGAGCCCAAGAGTGAGGAACTTTGCTGTGATGACCTCACACGCAGTCCTGTCAGACATCTGGCTAGTGGTAATTCCAGGGCAAGTGTACGTTGAAACAGCTTGGAGCGAGTCTCTTGCAGCCTGGTTTTGGTCCACTCCCCACAGGTAGAAAATACACAGTAGAAATGATGAATGAGGGGATCTCATTCATTAGGATTTTGAGGCCTCTTTTCCTAAGCTTAAGTTTACTAACTAGCAGATTTGGCTTACTTGCATGTGAGTCGGAAGAACGAGAGAAAAGAAAAGGGAAATGTCTGGGAGCGTGCTAGAAACAACCTGAATTCCTCTAAGTTCAGCTCGGAGAGTGCGGAGGAGCTTAGAGGCAGGTATCCTGCCTCTTTTGCTATTACGTGTCCCACGCTGTTGATTTTGATGTGCTTTCCCTGGGAGTCCATATCCACGTAGCACAGCTGAGTTTTGGTATTTGCAGTAAGGGGAGCACGTGTAGTTTGCAAGCATATACACAACGATGTACACGCATTGTATTTGATACTCTGAAAGCAGAAATAGGCAAGGATTACTGTTCTCAAGTACTTCTTAATGGCAGCAGGGTACCTTGTAAGTTTTGTAAGTGATTCTGTAATGTATTTGCTTGGGCCTTCTTCTCAATTTACACAAGTTCAGTAGTGGAGCTTCTGAAATGGAGCTAGTAACTTCTTAGGAAACTTAATTTCTGAATCTGAAGTGTTCAGTCTCTGTATGTTTTGGTGTAAAAAAAACAAATTTCACAGTGCATAAAAAGGAAAGAATTGCAAGTTGTGTGTAGTAGCAAGCATAACGTGGATAAAAGTGCTGCTTGAAAAAGTAGATACTTTTGTTAATAAAAATAGGTATTTTTGTATGTCAAGATAGGTAACTGGCTTTTCTGTTTGCCAGTAGAGAAGTGATGGTATTACCAAGCTATTGTTGTATGGGGATTCTTGACGGAGACAGTAGTTTGTGTGCTGAGTTTGTTGCTGATTTTACCTGTATTAAGTGTTCGTGTTTTCTGGTTTTTTGTTTCCCCTTCCTCCCCCAGGAGATGAGGGAGAGACTAAATCAAGGACTGTTCCAATGGAGGAGGAGGAAGATGATGATGATGACGATCCTGAGAATAGGTATGATACCATCTGTAAGGACTTAAAAAAGATTATAACACACCCTAGGCGTGGGCGCAAACCGGCGCAACGGAAGAGCAAGCAGGTTGTAAAAACCACGACTGCCTGCCTTGTAAAGACTCGCTCACGGGCTTCCCGCAAGTTTGAACAAGGGGCCAGAAAACAGAGGCCAAAATCCAGAAATGCAAAGAAAGTACTTAGAAGTGTTACCTAACACACCTTGCGTAGGGTGTGTTATAAATGCACTGCAGCACTGTCCATTTTATGTTCCCACTGAAAGTGTGAGGTTTGTGACGAGTGTTTCGTTCAGGCAGGTAAAGACCTACTTCTGATAAATGTGAATTTGAGCTAGTTATATGAATAGAAGGTGAAAATTTGCATCTGTGCAATATGCAGTGCTAAAATATTTTCAGATTGAACTTGGTTATTACTGTTACGTGATGTGCTTTTTTAATTGAAACACCTTTTCTCAATAAAGAGAAAACACAAATGTGGAGAAAACAGTATTAGATATTTTCAGCTGTTAATTAAACTGAGTTTTAATCCACTAAAGAATGCCTGAAGTGGCTAATGTGATAGTTAAGGCCCTGATTCTACAAGCACTGTGCATAGGCTCAACTGGTATCGAAGAGACTAATTACACATAAATTTTAAGTCTTTGCATAGATTATTTTCAGAGTTCTGGCTTTTATGTATTGCTTCAGTTTCAAGTTCAATAAAAATGAATCTGTGTAAGATATAGTTAGTCAAGACATGTCGTATTTTACCAGTGCCATTGTAGTTATCAAAGTTTGCCTGGCTAGAAAATGTAAAAGCTTCATTTCCTAATGAGCGAATGCACAACACAAAGTATTGCTCGATTACGAGCCGCAGTTTCTTTTTGGAAGTTATTGTAGTTAGACTGAAGAGTTGTTCGACAGATTTTTATACAGTATTTCAGAAACTGATTTTTTTTTTTTGTCGTATAGCATGTGTGGGACCAGCTTCACAGCTTTGCACAGTTGCTGGTGGAGTCTTTTTCTGCTTCTGAGCCTTACTGGTTTACAACGTGGTATCTTTGTTTCACAGAGTTGTATGTTTTGATCTGTGGCTGAAGTAAATTTTAAAAACACTGTTGTATATCCTTTATGGACCTCAGTTTGGCATCAGAGTGTTGCTGCTGATGTAGTTCTTGCTTGTTTTAAGTCATGAAATTTAATCAAATAATTAAACTTTTAAAGAAAGATGCTTTTTAGGGACTTGACAGCACAGGGTGTTAAGCAGAACACATAAATGTTGGTAACAGGAATTTTTTTTTAAATTACACTTTAATTTCAGTCCTGTTTTGATTTTGTTTTTCCTTCTTTTTTTCATTTTTGTTTGTTTCTTAAATGTTTCTGGTTGATAAATAAGCCAATACACTTTTGTCAAAGTTCAGTGTTTACCATACAAATGTTGCCGACACATCTTTATTATTAGTTTAAGAGCTATATTGGAAAATCAATTAACCCAATTGCTAACAAGCAAATCAGTAATATGAATTTAGGGTTTAAAAATCCGTTTCTGTACTTTGTTTTTAAGCTGAATCTTTGTTGAAGTTTTTATTTAGGGAATATTTTTAATATAAATGAGATGGAGAGGTATTCTGTCAATAAACAGTTTTGTCAGCCTTCAGACATGTTAACTTGTAACTGCAAACGAATTTTCCATTCATCACACATTGTACTTGGCACCAAAATCAGATCTATAACATGTAAAAAGATGGAACATCAATTTCAAGAAGTTAAAAGCTTGTTTTTCTGTTTTCTCAACACAAAGTGTTTAAATAGTTTACTTACTATTCAGAGAAGTTGCCTATTTTCTTCCAGGCCAAAGATGGCACATCGCACCTACTGGGTATTTGTAGTGTGGGAACGCTCATGTTTGCGAGTCACTAGTTTAGATGTTCTGTTGTTTGCATACCTTTGGATGTGCATGACATGAATATTAATAGTCTGGAAATCATCTTTGCCAAAATGCCATATCCAAGTGGGTCATAATATGACATACAGTGCTGTATGCTTTCATCTTTTGTTGTGTAATTAATCTATTATTGGTCCTTCTGATCTTTTAAATGGTACTGTTTAATATACTTGCAGTAGTTTTGTTTATTAAGAAATTAATAGTGTATTTCATGCAGAATGCCTTTTAAGTGTTTGATGGTTGCAATAAATTTTTGTAAAACGTTTTTCTTGTCCAAGCATTTAATTTAATACAACTCTGACAGCTTGAAAATCGGACTGTTTCAACAAAGACAGTACAGTATTTAGAACGAGGTGTTTGGCAGTTTTCACTTTTTTTTTTTCTTAAACATGTATGACATTTCATCCAAATATTTATCTCTTAAAATATATTTTAAGTTGTTCTAAATTTTTTAGTTATATACCAAAGGGCCCATTTAGCTCAGTAGTGCTCTAGCAGAAGGAATGGTGGCTTTTATTAGCCACATTAAATTGTCCTCTTCCCCATCCCCCAGAGACTTGTTTTGGGCAACCTTATTTCTACATATAATTAGTAGGTATTTATGAACACTACATGTGAGTTGTTACAGTCTAATTGGTAGTAATACGTCACAATAAGTAAGTAATATTTAAAATTAGGACTTTTTAAGAAGAATAATTATTTTTACAGTGGTAGCATTGTCTCACCAAATTTTTTGACAATCTGTGTCCATTGTATTGGCGCTCTAAAATTCGTGAACAAGAATGATGCAAACTGTCACGTGGACTTAACTCTGCATCGTGAGAAGCTGCACCTGCTATTTCACTTCTGCTGAAATGTCTGAAGGATAATTTAAAGTAGTCCTATACTGTGACTGAGCAACCCCTGGGTAACTTCCAGTTAGCCTATCTGTTTTAAAAAAGGTTTCCTTTTAGCATAAGTTAAAAAATACATAATAACCAATTCATTATTTATAAATATATATTGTTGGTGTCATTCTTACAAAGGTGAAATATATTTAAATCCTGATTTATGTAAAATTATACATCTATACTGTTATTTTATTCTGAAGTTGTTTTTATATATCCTGGTTGAGTTTACAGTCCCATTCTGTAGGGCACTGTGTAAATACGTGTTGGGAAAATGTCCGTTATACAAGTCTCACGATATGTTCGGGTAAGATGGAGCAGGGCCAGGCAGCGTGACATGCCCAAGGTCACAGCAGATCAGTGGCAGAAATTAATGACATGCAGGGATTTCTGGTTATGTCATTTTTTTATATTATTATTATTATTATTATTATTATTATTATTATTATTATTGTTTTGATTTGTTTTTTTTGCTACCTGAAGACCTGTGCTGGAGATCATACAGTGCTCTCTGCTTCTTAATTACATTTCTGTATAGTGTTCAACTGTTACATCTGGTTGGCCAAGAATATCTTTTACATCCTTGACCCAAGTAAATATATACAATTTTTCATAGGTTTCTCTGGGAGAAAGTGGGCACGGGAGTTTTCACGCTATCATAGCTTGGTTTTCTTGGTATTTGCAGCTTGATGTTAAAGCAAATATTAAAATGTTGAAGCTAGTGTATGAAGTTTCTTAGCCTAGAATGCTGGTCACTTAAAATGGGTTTATATCTTAAAATAAAAATGTGATATATTATCCTGAGCCACATATGATTTCATTTAAAACCAGTTTCAAGAGTCGAGTACTCAATTTATTCTGATTCATACAAGCCATTTGTTACATCAGTCATTTGTCAGATGCATTTTCAAGACTTAATCTGTTTGGTTCTGATATTGCTTACACTTTTAATTCCTATCAGGTGTGTAGTTACATTAAAAATAGGAATCTTTTAAATTCTGAATGTCTCAACAATGTCTTACGTCTTTAGCCTAATGTCATAGCAGTAGAATGCATTGAAGAGAATGTAGGTTTTTTCATTAAACAAACAGTTTCATCTCAGTTTGAGTCAAAGTGGTTAAATCTGTATCCTAGCTAAAAAATATGTCTAATTTTCTATTTGAGTATAAAAGCAAGAACTTATTAATCAATATTGTTGTAAGTAATTACTTAGAAGCTATAAAGTTTACGCAGTCTGGTTGGTCGTTATGATGATGATTGGTAGGAAAATAGCAGCATCGTCTGTTCGTGGACACTAGATTTTGTGCGTGGTATTTTTAGGTGAATGATACATTTGCTTTTTTTTTTTCTTCACATAAAAAATACTTCCCAAAAGAACAAATGGAAATATATGTCTTCTTTTAAGAACTAAAGTCAACCTTTGTTTAAAAAACATAGAAATAAATGGTTAAGGGTGACTTGTATGAAAGGTAAGTGTTGTTATCTGCGTACAAGTTGTGGTAACTTCGCTGTGCGATGAAGGACAATCCAAACAAAGTCGAAGGCTGTATTGCTAGGCAGTACTTTCAGGAGTGACTTTGAAAATTTGGCAGCTCTTTTTAGTGTTTATACTTTTTTTTTCTCTTCCAAAGCAAAACTTTGGTGGTGATACTGTTTTGGGTTTTTTTTTTTAAACAAGTAGCCAAACTGCTGCTGTCTGTGTTCCCTGGAGTGGGATTCAAGATCAATGATTTACATTAAAAGCTTTTGAAGAGAAACCAACCTCTGATATTTGAAGCAGTTTCATTTTGAAGACAAAGTTCTTCCGACCATTGAGAGATGGAGGAGATATAGTCTTAATTTCTGATATAAGGAGCTATTTATTCCTGTTGCTATTATACATGATGTGGTGGATTAAAAAAAAAACAAAAACAAAAAAACCAAACCACAACAGCAAAAAATCCCTACTGAGTCTGTCTTCCACATAGTCTGGGAGGACCTAATGCAAAAAAACACATTTGGAAGAGGATGTTACTTGTCTATGGAATTTAGTAAGTTTTCATTGGGTTCACACTGTGGTCTGTTGATGTATGTGGAATTAAAGCTTACCAAGAGCACTGCATTTTCAGGTTTTAATAATCTATTTCTTCGCAAGCTTTTTCTGAAACGAGGGGGTGTGTGTTTGAATGCTGCTGGGTAGTCGTTGACTCAGTAAGCAATCTTAAATGTTTATTAAACCATTTTACTTCCATCTTTTGATAATAACCAAATGTACGTTAGTGTTAGAATCTTTTTGGAGAGTATGCTACTACTCAAAAAATAGAAAATGCCGTATGAAGTGTTAGGAAAGATACTTTGGGAAAAATTCCCTCTGAAAAGTTGCTGTGTCTTAGGGACACATTACATGCTGAAAAATGAAATACAGATTCCTTAAAACCCGTTTTATAGTGCTACATAAAAGTAACAGTTTTCTAATGTATAAGAAGCTGTACTTAAGAGATTGCGGCTCCTTTGCCGTTTCCAAGTGAGGCCTAGGTTGTGGTTCACTTTCATGGTTTTTGAATTACTGTTTTTGACTGGTATGAAAGCTTTCCTGTGCTGAACTATGTACATACAGTATACAAGAATTGTCCTGAAAGGGAAGACAGAGCAGATTTGACCTAGAAAAAAAAAATTTTGCATTTAAAATTGATGACCATTCAATGAAAACTATAGTATTTCTGATATTTATATGAGGAAGGCCTGGTTTCATTCTTTCAGGATTCTTTTTTTCCCCTGGAAGTACGAGTTCTCAGATAAGTCCGCTGTTTTCCCCATGCTTTTGACATTTTATATTTTGCCTTGGATAGATTCATAGAGGGGGATTTTTTATGTTGCCATATCAGTTTTCCGTAGTAACTTCTTGTACCTTAGCTGAAAACATGCTTGTGCTGAAGTGGAGCGGTGCGAAGCTGAGCGAGGAGTTGGTGGGACAGGGAATAGGATCGTTAATTTTTCCTTGAAATTCAGGTCCCGTAGTGTTTGCTAAAACTCCTTGTGTGTGCGTACATACATACACATTTTTGCTGTAGTTGCTAAAGGGCAAGTGCTTGTAGTGATGTGAGCGATTTGGTGTGGGGTTTTTCCCTGAGGCACTGAACACCAGTTGGCCTTAGGAGGTGGTGGGGTGCTGCGGTTCCTACGGCGTCTCCTCCGCAGGGGCTGGGCCCAGGCCATCGGAGTGGTAACGCAGCTGAAGGCAAGCTGCGTAGAGTTCAGGAAATGGATTCTTTTTTTTCTTTTTGAAGCTGTGAGTTGATGCATATTGCAATAATCTTTTTCTCCTTGTTTAAAACACGCATTCAGTGATACACTGTTTTTAAAACTAGTACTGTTTACATATACACCAGTCAAGTAGATTCAGTGCCTCAGGAAATTAATCTCATTGTTTTAAATCAATTAAGCATGATAAATATTTTTTGGGGGAATGATTTGAGTATTAGGGTTTGGTCTGCAGCATCTTCACGTCCTTGTTACTGTTAGAATTCATATAGGTGCCTATCCCCGAACTGGCAAGAGTCCATCCAGATAGGCCATGAATAAAATGAAATGTTTTGGGTTGTACATTTTGTACCTATCACCAGTCTTGTTGTAAAGCACGAAACTGCCTTTTTAAGAAGCTTTATACAAATTTGCGTTTTAAAAGTGAGTTAACATGTTACGTTTAATATGCGATTTTTGCTGATATAGCCTGCCTTATCACAATGACTTTTCATCAAGTGTCTTTTTTTTTTGTTCAGCTTTCAGCCCTTTTTTTGAAGTTCTCAATGGTATAGGATTACACTTGTCGTTCATAGATTTACTTGAACAATGGAATAAATCGTTTTTTCTGTTTTGCTTCAAAGAATTGCCAAGAAAATGCTTTTAGAAGAAATCAAAGCCAATCTTTCCTCTGATGAGGATGCATCTTCAGATGATGAATCGGATGAAGGAAAAAAGAAAACTGGAAAGCAAAATGAAAACACGAGAGATGATGGTGAGCACCAAAAAGCATCTGGGAGAAAGTGGTGCTGTAGTGCCTGCCAGAATTTCAGAGGTCCCTTGCGAAATTTGTAATTGTTAAAGTTTCTTCAGTTTTCAACACAAAAATGCCCTTGATGTTGATAGGTAGTTGTCAAGTAGACGCCAGTGTACATGCTTATGAGGATTGTCATCTCTTTTACTCTGCTGTGAGTGTTATTTTTTTGTTAATTGTCTGATTTTTGTCACCAATTCAGAAGTGCTAGGGATTTGTGAGGAATAGTCTGTACAGAACTGTAAGACGTGCAAATGCACGGGAGAGATTTGACGAACACGTGCAGTCATAGGAACAGACATTCCAAGTGTTCTGGCAGTGTGAAATACTTAAATTTTTAGGGTACAACAGTATGTTGTTGCCTATTAATTTGCTGGAAAAGCACAGAATTTAGCCTAAATTAATTCAGATTTTAATTCTTGTCAAACTTATGTGGGGAAAAAAATGACCAGTGTGTATGTTGTACTGACTTCTATCTCTGACAGAAGAGAATGTAAAGGAAGAGAATTCTGAATCAGATTCAGAGGAAGAAGAAGAAGAAGAAGAAGAAGAAGAATCAAAGAAGCCTAGATACAGACACAGACTGCTGAGGCACAAGCTGACAGTGAGTGACGGAGAATCTGGTGAAGAAAAAAAGGTGAAGCCAAAAGACAAAAAAGAAGGGAAGCGCAGAAATAGAAGGAAAGGTATGTAAACTATAAGTTTTTTTGTCACAAGGACTGCTTACTTCTGTGAAGTCAGCCAAAGCATGTCAGAATGGAGATTTGCAATTTTAAAGTATCTGTATAAACTTCCTTGTGTGTGAAATCTAGATTTCTTTTACCTGTGTTTGAAAAATAGTTTTATTTGAAATGTTAAATACAAATGCAGCGCTCTCTCCATTTACTGTATCCTCTGAATTGGATTAATCTTATTGAATCTAGAATATTAATCTTAAAATAAGAGGGAAACCCTGTATGTCTAATTTGTGAAGATCAGTCGTGTCCTTGATGTGACTTCTCTCTTTCACTTGGACTGTTGGTAGGCCTTCGTGCATCAGAAATTTCTGCATCCTAGAATTCAGATGTTGCAAGCTTTAGCTGAACACCAGATGGCATTGTGAAACGATGCTCGACTCCGATTTTTCATTTTCATTGTTGCATGCCAGAACAAAGAATCTGTTGGCCCCTTGCACTGAACCGTTTTGAGCAGAGGAGGGGAGCGATAGTAAGGATAAACACTTACAGCCACGTCAGCCAGCGCGGGTGCTGATGGTGTTCGGTGGCCGGTGGAAGTGAGGGTGCGCGCTGTGTTCCTGCCCTTAGCGTTGCACCATGCTCGCCATCTTTTGCGGTGTTCCACAGACTAAAAGATGCAATGCGATTTGTTAGCGTTTTCTTTCAGGAGAACTCTTATTTTTATCTGAATGTATATTGATGCTTTTCCTCCCATATGGAATTACAACTCTACCAACACCATTTCTTTCAAGAAAAGTAATTGCAAATTACAGTGGCAGTGTGCAAATAACATGCAGCCAGGCTAATTCTCAGGATTCTTTACTATAAGTCTTATAAGTTCACTGGTCTCACGTAGAACAATATACTTTATTTCAGCTCACCATTTTTTAGCCCTATGTTATTAATATTACATTTCGTCATGTATGTAAAGCAATCCTTGTTTTAAACCTTGTCACTCATGAAGCAGTTAAACTTTCCACTGTGTTCAAGGTCAAACTGAAATTATAAAGGTGCTCAGTGGCATGCTGGTCTTAATTACCTGTAAATGCCGTGATGGCTCCTAAAAGTAGTTACGGTAGTATTACCTAATGCTGCTAGTTTAGGTGTGGTTTTAGTTGTCTTTTGAGTCAGTTTTAAACTTGCGTTACCTGAAGAAACTGCAAGCCATAGAGTAAAACAGTTGCATATGTTGTTAGTAAATAAGAGTTGTTTGCAGGAATTATGAAGTATGATTATAAAATGACATCTAAAGTGTTTGAAACAAAAGCTTCTGTTTAACTAAAAATCATCTTTTGTTTTCTGAAGTTCTGTAACGTTCCCCATTGTGTTTTCTCTTCCTCACCTGCTGTCTTTGAAGTGTGATGCTTTCTAATGTGATGCTTTCTGTCATTTGCTTGTAGACTATACTTAGATGTATTTGTGCATAAAGGCCTCGAGTCTTGTTGGCATAAGATGCCATCTGTCAGGACTCAGCGAGTGCTTACATGTGAAGTTTTTCTACTCTGCACCTCTTCAATTCCTGTCGCTTTTTATTAGCATGTTTAATGGGTCCCAGGCTGTCTGAAATGAACTTTTGCAGTGGTTGTTGATCTTAGTTTGTTGTATAATTAGAAGATACGTCATGTTGCTAACTTTGCAATAATGCTCAACGTGACATCATACTTTATTTTTAAAGTGAGCAGCGATGATTCAAATGACTCTGAGTTTCATGAATCTGCAGTTAGCGAAGAAGTCAGTGAGTCTGAAGATGACCAACGTCCAAGAACAAGGTACAAATAAAATTTAACTAGCCTTAATCTGTGTTGGTTTTTGCTTTTTAATAGAGAAATTTAGCAATGAGGTGGTAAAAGTTAAACACTTTGGATCAGTCCTTAGAACTGTTGATGATACTTGTCCGTAACTTGGTATCTGCTAGTTAACTTCACAGCAAATGTGAGAATTTTGAATTTGTACCACTGTGTGGTACACAGCAATTTGATGAACCAGTACAAAAAAAAGTTTAACGATAAATGAACATTTTTAATGTCAGTGTCTGCTGAGGAATGGTGGGTTGCAGTAGAAAACTAACACTTAACAATTCTGAGATGCTTCAGGGTCATCTGGAGTAGGCTGTGGCTATGTGTGTCCAGTGAGCTGAGGAAGAGAAAGAAATTTGGAAGTAAACCTCTGACGGCACAGGAGGAGCATATATTCTCTGAATTAGCAATGTAGTTCATGTTCTTTTATCATTGTTTTTTGGTGAGGCAATGAATTATTGTTAATCAGTAAGACTGCTTTTTTTTTTTTTTGTTGCAGATCTGCCAAGAAAGCTGAGGCAGAAGAAAACCAGCGCAGTTACAAACAGAAAAAGAAACGAAGGCGTATAAAGGTTCAAGAGGATTCTTCAAGTGAAAACAACAATAAGGTGCTAGATTGTGTTTTGAATGAATAAATGGGAAAAGGAGTTTCTGTCTCTTCTGCCAACTGCTTAGGGACTTGAGTATCTCAAACAGCTCTGTACAAAGTAGAGTAAAAAATTTTAACTTTTCTCAATGTTCATTCAGTGCTATAATTTGTAAAATGGCACCATTATGGAGAAGAAGCACTGCGTTTAATAAAACCATTTCCTGTCTAGATCGTGATAAAGGTGCATGATATCTTTTAAGTAAATGGAATTTTTAAACTAAATGTAGAAGATGGCACAAGTAGTAGATTAACGCTTTCCTAGTATTAGGGTTTCTTTTTCTATGTGGAGCAGGTGATAGCTGATCTGATCTAGTACTGCTAGAACAGCAAAGTAGTTCTTCATTGACAGGCATTAGTTACTATCAGATGCTGACAGTACCTTCAGTACTGCCTTTGCACAGCTGGGCTTATCTTTAATATCCCACAAGACGTTGTAGTTAAGGTGGTGCTTCTTTTGTTTAACTTGTTTTTAAAAAAGTATCTTTCTTCTTATGAGCTGAACTCCACCTGTGTGCATGAAAATTTTTGGGAGCTTGGTCTATGATGGTCTATGCCATAATTTTCTTGCTAATACTTCACTTCTTTCATGTATAATAGAGTAATTCTGAGGATGAGGAAAATGATGACTCCAAATCTCCTGGAAAAGGCAGGAAGAAAATCAGGAAAATTATTAAAGATGATAAGCTTAGAACAGAAACACAAAATGCACTTAAAGAAGAAGAAGAAAGAAGAAAACGTATAGCAGAAAGAGAAAGGGAGAGAGAGAAATTGAGAGAGGTATGTTCTGTTTTCTTTGCAAAATGCTAGGAAGTTGAATTAGTGATGTTTAAGACAACATGTTTCTACTTCAATTTAGTATGGTAAGTAATTTTAAAAGTGCTTATATGTAGCCTTGTAATCCACAACTTTTATTTGTAGTTTCCTGCAGGTTAACGTTGGTAAGTTTTATTTAAGGCTACTGAGATCTTTAGAAAGCTGTTTCAGTTGTCTACTGCTTTACTTTCCATTTGGAAAAGCACTCTGCCAAAGTAAGTTGTGATGTATAGTAAAGAATTTAAGGTTTCTCTCTACCAAATAAATTCTGACTTCCAATTTTGCTAAAGCTAGTGTCTGTCACATGCTTGGTGTTGTTCACAGGTGAAGTGTTCCTATAATGCCCTATTGCTCCTTACAGGTGATAGAGATAGAAGATGCTTCACCTCTGAAATGTCCCATTACTACTAAGCTGGTTTTAGATGAAGATGAAGAAACCAAAGAACCGTTAGTGCAGGTTCACAGGAGTATAGTTACCAGACTGAAACCGCACCAAGTAGATGGTAAGGAAGGAGGCTTTTAAATTCCCTTCCCCCCCATTCTACCCCCGGCACAGCAGCTTATGCAGCCTGAATTAGAATCATAAGAAAAACCTCCTTGGCAGGCAAATGCCGGAATGTCAGGTTTAATGCTTTATTTTTGGAACGTGTGAACAAAAGTAAACAAGAACAGCAGTACATAGTTCTGTTTTACAAGCAAGGAACCTCAGAAATATGAAGTTGGAAGGGTCCTCAGAGTCATTTGATTCTCCACACTGAGGCAGAATCAACTACATGTTAGCCCATTCTGTGGAGGAGTTAGTATATTCACATCTTATAATTTTCAGTGAAGATTTATAAGTCTCACGGTATTTTCCTGTCTTTTTCAGTAGAATTTTGTGATACCTGACATGACTGCAAATCAAGCCAACTTCTTTCTGTATTCTGTTTCTAGTGAAGAAGGAGGAAAGAATATTCCAAAGGATTGGAATAACCAATCAAAATTTTCTTTACAGCTTCCTCAAAGTTCATAATCTATAACCTTTCCTTTTTAGTAAGGAACATCTGGTCTCTTGCTTCAGCTCCTAAAGGGAAGTGCCCTGAACGAGCCATAGCAGTCAAGTTGAAGCCTCACCTGTGCTGAGTAGAGCATAGTAGAATACAGTTCCCCAATAAATATATTGCAAAGAGCAAAACTATTGCCCAGCAGACCCTCATGTCATTAATGTGTTTTGTTACGTAGCATCTATTCTGTTTCCTTTTTCAGCTGTCACAGTTCTGACTCGATTTTTTTCCTCTTTAAGCATAGAACTTCAGACCTGACCTGTCGTGGCAGAATTTCTTCTAGTTGGTTTCAGATAATTTTTGCTAATTTGTCAAGATCATTTTAGTCTTTTCGTGAAGCCCTTGTAGCTTTTCATTGTCTGCTCTTCTCTCCCTGTCCCTAAGATTGCAGTCATCTGCAGTCTACATAGTAATATTTTTCTAAACCAATTGCCACATCTTCAGTGAAAACTGTGAATATAATTAAGCTTAAGACAAAGATCATCCCACACGCAACCCTTTGGACAGAAATGAATCAATGGTTATCCCAAGCACTGCTTTTTTAAGGGTTACTGTTATCTTACAGTGAACACACCTATTTCTTATCAGATGAACTTTAATAAAATAATGTTTAATGAGAATTTTTAAAATAATTTTCTTCAGGTGTTCAGTTCATGTGGGATTGCTGTTGTGAATCTGTAAAAAAAACAAAGACATCTCCTGGTTCTGGATGCATTCTTGCTCACTGTATGGGTCTGGGGAAAACATTGCAGGTAAGAAACAAAAGTCGCCTTGTTTTCTGGTCTGTAGCTTGCTCACAAAAGCTGATCCAGCAAAAGACAATTTTAATGATTTTCAGAACGTAGTAAAACATACCGTTTCCTAGGCAGTGACTCAACAAGGGTTGCTGGAGGAAAACATTTTGTAAAGAGGTCTTGAGAAAGAAGTTCGTAGTACGCAGCTGTACAAGTTCTGATACACGCTTGTACTTTCTCTGCTTTTAGAAGATCTGAAATTAAATTAGGTAATCATTAATGCTCATGTGAAAAGGTCGTATTTAATTGTAAGTGACGCGTAGCTCCCTTGCAACTCAGGAAAGGAAAATGCAGCTAGTAGGAGACAGGCTTCTGGAACCTGTGTTTCTAAGATGGTTTAATAATCTTAAGCAGGTTGCCTTTTTTACTGTCTTCCTTATTCCTGTGTTGCTCCTTGAATTATTTATTTTCCTCAGTGGTTTTTTGATTTATTTGTTGCACTGATAAAGTAGAGTTTTGTCAGGCTTTGTGTTTTATGGGTTTTTTTTATGCCAGACTTTTAGTGTCTAAAGTCAGATGCTTTCTGTTTCAATATCAACGTTTTGTTACAACTTAGACTCTGCCTGCTTGAGGGACAGGGGGCATTTGTTCTCTGTTTCAGTAATTGTCCATATGTACCTTCATGTTTTGGGGTCATTATGCATCACAGTTAAGACTAGAAGCTTCCATTGCCTTGACAGTTAACTGTAGGGCATACTTGCAGCCTGGTTTTAATTTCATTATTTCTTCTCTTTGGCTTTACAATTCTTTGCTTCCTGAGATCTTCAGGTTCAAGCCTTGTCACTTCAGCACATGTTCCTTCTCCTTTACATTGCTGAAAACTGCCCTGGAAAAATCTTTATAACAAAATATTGTAGCATTTCTTAAAAAAAGATTTCCATATTTCTTCATCTGATACAAGTGGCTCTTCTGCTGTGTTAAGAGTTGCGCAGTGAACAACTTACCATTTCTAGTAGTCTTTAAAATCTGAAGGTCAATCCCCGAGACTGATCACCCAAGCAGTTGCTGTAAATCAATGCTCGTAGCTCTTTTTCTTGGGCCTCTCATAATCATTGCAGGCCTCAGGAGAAGCTCATGCCGTTGACCTTCAAAAGAGGTGAAAGGTCAAAATCATTTTTCTTGAATTCTGTGCTTCTCAATATTCACGCTAGTACCTTTTCAAGGTAGTCAGGACCATTGAATTCCTTTTGTGTTTGCTAGTTGCCAAGTATTGATCTGTCTTCATAAATTTTGGTTGTGCATTTAGCCAGATGTAGCATCACCACATGCTATGAGCAAAGAAGTGGAATGAGTTGCCTGTCTTGCTGCTCTCCTGCCCGGTCTATTTTGAAGAACTCCTGCAGCAGAAGTCATTTCAGAGAAGAACCTTTCCCTCTGATTCTGGGAAGAGAAGGGGAAGTTTTTGGGAACTCTGAAGAAGAAAGGAGGGTGACAACCTTATCTGTGCTTGAAAAGGCCCTCGTAAAAGCAGGTCCGCTTTGATCTCCCTGTCGTTGGCCTTCGTTGATGAAAGTTGTCTCATTTCTGGAGAAGGAAGATATTCCTGTATTTTTATCAGGACAGCTGGCTAGTGAAGTGGATTACTGTCAACCTGTTTAATCTCTGGCTTGAGCTGAATCATTAGAAATCTAACTTGCAGCTTCTGCAGACACTGTAATTGATTAGAACTGATTTCAATCCGGGATCAATCAGGGCCTTCCTCTGCCAGCGGTAGTTCTTAGGAGGCCTGCCTAGTACTCTGGTGAGTTTGTGACAGGCAAGTCTAGATCACGTTAGCAGCCAGCACTTGCGCAACACTTCATTCTTTCTTCACGTGCTCCAAATTTGGATGCACTTCAGTCATTTGCTGGAGCACAGTCTCCTTAGCATGGTGATGACGGTTCTCAAAGAGGTTATTCTCTTCCTACAGTGAGGATGGGATCCTCAAAGCGTCTGTAAGGAAATGCCATTTCACCATCCTCTTCCATCTTGGTCAGTTGTGGTAGAAGCTTCCCCGTTGGATTGGGAAGCCCTATCACAGACCTGGAGGCTCAAGATCTGTTCATTCGTAGATAGGTCAGTATATCAGTGCACTGGAATTCCAAGCTCAGTGAAAGATGTCTCAGCGTTTTTGTGCCATAGCTAGATTCATAGTCTGCAAGTGACAACAGCCAGCTTTGTGACTTTGTTAGTCACTTAACAAACAGAATGCTGTAAGATGCTGTTGACCAGCAGTTGGTCTTTGACACCTGTCTGTTTGGAATGAGGTGTGTCAGTCATTTTTACTCTGTAGTGCTCACATCTGCCGTGCTAGCTGGTGTTTGGCGTAGTCAGCACGGCTGGATGCTGCTAGATAGCAGGCTTGGCTTGGCTTGGCTTGAGGTCTTTCATTACTATTTTTAGAGACTTGAAATGTGCTCCAGGAGAAAATCTTCAGAGGCAGGAGGTAGCTGTTATTCTTTGCTAGCGTTAGCTATGCCTTACGGGGTCAGATGACTTCCTTGTGTCTTCCCTCTAGGGCACCACTACTCAGGATTCTTTTAAAAAGAGGAGTTACGTGAGAAATACCTAATCCTGCTCTCCTCTGACCTGATTCAGATGAATTTTATTTAGGACTTTCTGATCCTGAGAATCTTCTTTCTTGACCTGCGAATTGCAGGATATAGTCATGGAGCACTGGAGCTGGTGTAACATCTTCAGGTTCTTCAGATCCCGTAGATTCCTCTGCAAAGAACAGGCTCCAGGGAGTCAAGGGAAGCTTGGGCTTTTTTTAGTGGCTTTTCTGGGGTTGCGGGTTTTTTTGCGTAGCAGAGCTGTAGATGATCAGAGGGCCGGTGGTCCTTTGTCATGTACACTGTTCAAGTGAGACAATCTTCAGTCTTGGCTGGTTGTGGTGGACAGGGTGGGTTTAGGAACTCTAGCTGCAGTCTATATAGTTTTGCTTTGGTTATGGAAGTTGGGGTGGCAGACACAGTATTTTGCCAATCTGCAATCCTATAGAAGAGGACCTTGATACATACTTCGAAAATCTTTGAAGAGTATATTTTTACATGCTTAATCTTCAAGAGTTAATTAACACCTTTTATTGGAGATTTGCAATGTTTTGCAGAACTGTTGTGCTTTAATGTAGCAGTGCAGTCTAGGTGACTTTGTACACTTTATATACCATATACTTCGGTGAAATATTTCCTAGCAGAAAGTAATTTTGTATGTGATCCAGATATGTTCATGACATTCGTTTTGGCTATAATTTCTTGATGATCAAAGAAAGCCACAGTTACAAATATGCATGAAGTAGTTTTATGGCCAGTGTTTGAAGCTTAGGTGGTTGGGTTTTGCCTTATGTGGTCATTTGTGAGCCCTTCTGCTGTACTCTAGTGCCATTTGTTGTTTAGCTCTTAAAAGAGCTAAATCAGCTATAAGTTGTAGCAGAGTTTGCGAACTGCAGAGAAAAATGTCAGTAAAGCACCAGGGAAATAAGGCAGTTAGGGCCTTGCCGGCTGTCCAGGACGCAGGACTTCTGTGATTAATCTTCACGGGTAGTTTTTGCATCTGAACATGAGATGTTTTTGTCTTGATCACAAAACCACCGAGTAATTCCTTTCGTATTGCAGCATCTAAAAGCAGCTTGTTGCCCAGTGTTCCAAGCATAGTCATGCAGCCTGAAATTACTTTGAATAGCGTATTAAATTAGAGTTGCCAGATACCAAAATCTGATCTGGAAAGAACTTTCCAAATGTTGGACAGTTACGTGAATTGCAGTTATGTGAGTGCAGTTTTCACCATTAAAGGTCTGGTGGGAGAGCTGGAGCTGCCATGGGATCCCTGACTCTTCTGCTCCTGGGTTTTTACAGGTTACCTCTAGCCCTATCTTTATTTGCTACTGCTCAAAACCGGGCAGCCCAGCAGAAACAGAGTGACATCAAGAGATTTAAGTTTTTTTCCCGGGCCTCAAGGAGGAGTTATCATCCGCAGCATACAGCCAGTCTGGCTGCAGGGTGAAGATTTGTAAAGCATTTCAGTAACCTGCTTCAGAGCTCTTTTGAGAGAATTTGCCAATATGTTGGAAAAATGTGGAAAACATTGATTTAAGACTAAAGTTCACTTTCAAGAAACTCGATACATTAATGAAGTCCAAAGAGGTGAACTTATTTGATGTTTGGGGTGACTATTGAGAGAAAAATGACCTAATAGATATTTTTAGTTCATGAAGATGATTGCTGAAATGTAGAGGAAGGGTTCCTTATTTATGAAATCATTTGGCTATCTGGTGCAATTCAAAACTGCGTGTTATCTCAGTGTGTGAAGGATGTATGCAGCCAAATAACATAGAGTAAGAAATGTATGACTTCAAAATACATGTGTGTTAAATTTTAAGCAGCAAGTTATTTAACGAACAGAAAAAGAATGTTTGGACAAGGCTGTTGTTGGTGAGTTCTGTATGTGAATGTATACTTGTATGGTTCTTTCTTAGAGTTTAATACTCAGTGTTTTATTTGGCATTTTGTCTGTGTTTTCCTCTTGCAGGTAGTAAGTTTCCTTCACACAGTCTTGCTGTGTGACAAGCTGGATTTTCGGACAGCTCTGGTAGTGTGTCCACTGAACACTGCCCTGAACTGGTTGAATGAGTTTGAAAAATGGCAAGAAGGTTTGGAAGATGATGAAAAACTAGAGGTAAAAGGCTTAAAAATAGTTCTTTGAAAATGAAATAATGGAATGGTTTACGTAATTGGGAAGCTCCACCACTCAAAATATAAGTTAAGGAATTAATTTTAAGTATGTGAAAAGTCTACTTGAATTAATAAGCCTCGGGTATTTGAAAGTTACACCAAGACTTTGGTATTTTAAGAGAAATTCAGGCATATTTTTCCCCCTTTGAAAGGTCTGTGAACTAGCAACTGTGAAACGCCCTCAAGAGAGAAGCTATATGCTCCAGCGTTGGCAAGATGAAGGAGGTGTGATGATAATAGGCTATGAGATGTACCGTAATCTTGCACAAGGCAGGAATGTGAAGAGTAGAAAACTTAAAGAAATATTTAATAAAGCTTTAGTTGATCCAGGTAAGTGAAAACGAATAGAAGTATGCGTTATATATATTGTAGTTTCAGATTCCCGTAGATGAGCTAGGTAATCTTGCAAATGGAAGTCTGTTGGGCAAATTTAAACAGTAACATTAGTAAGATTAATCAGATTTTTTTTTTTTGGCTTTTGCCAAGTTACAGAAACAGTTGTTCAGAAACGACCCCGTCTGCTTTTGTAAATAGACTTCTGTAACAGTTTTCTGTTAGAACAAATACAGAAATGACCACAGGAATATATGCTGGAAACTTTTCTTCATAGGTTATCTTTTTTGCTAGCATTGCTTTCTTTGTAAGATAATTTGCAGTGACTCTGGGGAACCTAAGGTTGTTTTAATCTGCTAATTCGTTACAGCCACAAATTGCTTTATCCTTGATAGAAATCTACCATTAAGGGGGCAACTACACTTGAAAAATAATTGAGAATGTGCCTTAGAAGTGTGAACAAACAAGTGTTAATTAAGTGCTAATGAATTGATTGCAGATAAAGCACTTAATTAATTTGTTTAGAGAAAGGGGTGTCTGGTTTAAGCTTGGCTGAACTGATCAAACTTAGGTAAGCATGTAAGTAAGCACTTGAAAATATTCCAGGCTGATACAACCCATCTATCCAGTGGTCATCAAAAAGAGCTAAAAAAAAAGGATAAGTTAGGACAAGTTTCACCAAAATAACAAAAATCTCCTACAATTTCTGAACTGGCAGCTGGTATCTGAAAACAACTTATGGTTATGCCACATGCGGCATACCCTAAAAACTGTTTTTAAAAGGCACCTTTGCCATAACTTTGATATTTGTCTTTTAATTGAGAATGCTGATAGAGTGGGTAGGGTAAATGGTTTCTTTGATTTTGGAGGTAGGTTTTCTTGGGTTTTATTTATCTGGCTAGACGTTAGGTTTCTTGACAGAGTGTGGCTGATTTTCTCCTTTTTCCTTTTATCTTTTTATTCTTTCTGACTGATGAAATACAGCGTTGGTGTGGTTTATAGTTGTACTTGGTGAGCTTGATTTTGTGAAGTTTCAAATAATAGTTGGGCTGTGAATTTTGTTCTAACAGACAAAGGCATACTTCAGTGGGAAAAAGAACTTTGTGAGTATTGACATTGGGCAGTTGGGATAGGCATCTCCAGCCCTGCAGAAAGCCTGTTGGAGCAGCTAAAACATTAATTAATTTTCTGCCAAGCTGACTCCCTAAGTCACATAATTGCTGTGGAGTCAGGGAAGCTTCAACACAGTAGCTGATGAACTGTTCTTGCGATCATGTTGAATCCATGTGCATTATGTAAGCAATGAAGACGATGCGCTGCTTGCCAGTAGGTTTTCTGACTCCTATGAATGCCGCAGTTACTTAAAACAACAACAACAAAGTGCAGAAGTGTGGGGGGGGAACCCTGTGCTGTCAGTCTTATTCTGTATTTGATTTACGTAGGATATTGCATTTGTCGAGAACGTTGCCAGGAAAGTCAAAGCTAGAGAATAAAAGGTGTGAACTGCTGTCGAAGCAGCGGTGACAGGACAGCAGCCTGACAGGGCAGTAGCTTTGTATTCAGTGGGTCACGTTCTGGTGCAATGATGAAATAAAATGTTGTGTACTCTTACAGTGATAGATTTTGTGGGGTTTTTTCCTTGTGGAAAGCGTAAGGGAGGCTAAACATAGGGGTTGTTACCATGTGTCTTTATAGTAATATTGTCGCTTCCTTGGTGGATTTGTATTTACGTAACTTCAAAAAGCTTGGACTGTGGAGTGCGGTGGCATGCTGGGCATGCAGCTTTATGGAGGAGACACAGCGACTGGTGTGACCTTCCCTGTCCCACCTCTTGTGAATCTCTTGGCTTTTACATCCTGCTTACAGGTTCTACTTTCAGACCTCTGTAGGCAGCTCACGACAACACGATAGAGCAGTGGTATTGACTTCCGTAGATTTAATCATGTTCAGAAACTGCAGCATGTTGAGCCTTGTAGTTTGTGAATAATTTCAGATGAACATGGAACCCCCTGTTTTATTCTCCTCTTGGACCAGTTGGTTGGTAGGATGGAATCAGACCGTTACGGAAACTAACCTTGAAATCGCTGCATAATCATTTTTATGTTGCTTCAAATCTTTCTCTATTTTAACTAATTACAAAAAGGCAGAAGTGTTCATCTGTTGTTACCCATTAGTTTTTGGAGACGTTTGGATTCCCTGAATTGATGAGAAGTGTCTTGCAGCGACCACTATTTGTTTCTTGCTATCTGTGAATCACAGCGTTGGCAGTGTAGCAGGCTGCCAGTAAGAGAGTCATGAAGCTATGCGCTGGCTTACCGCTGTGACTGTAAATAAGAAAACCTTTGCCTCTGGGAGCACTTTTAATTTGGAAAGTTGCAAATTTGGTATTTGAGTCATAATTTAATGATATGTGTCTGATTAAAATGAATCCTGCTAGGGCAAACGTGTTCTATAGTAGAAGGTTGCGTTGCACTGCGTGCTGCAGAAGAGGGGACCAGAGAGGGAGGTTTAGCCAAAGTTTATGGGTGGAGAAGTGATTTCATTAATTAACTAGCTTTGCTATGTGAAATAATAGCAGGATTTTTTATATATATATATATACACACACGTGTGCAGAGCAACAAATAGTTTCCCATAATGCTTTGTGCAACGGATGAAATGCTCTTTGGTTTATTGATAGTTGTTGTGCTTTGCTTGCAGCATTTCAATAACTTTGTATTTTTTTACTTGTTGCTACTAATAAAAATTCCATTAGTGTTTGACTTGGAAACTGGTCTGTAATTGGCAATTGTATAAAGCAGGCTTACGTTCTTGTAGCCTTCAGTGGGAAAGGAGAACTGTGTGTATATCTATATAATCTATCACTTAGTATGTTTTGTATATTTCAGTATATGAATGTGCAAGTACAGCAAGAAGGACAACAAAATGAAGACTAGGATCATTGAGGAGAGGTTGAAGGAGTAAGGCTTTGTAGCTTAGAAAAAGACAACTAGACTGACAGATTTTCTACCACGTGAGAGCTAGTTACTGAAAGGACTGATCAGTTGTGTCTTACATCAGTTGGGGAAAGGGCAGAAGTTACTCTGATTTGCAGCAGAGGTCATTGCAATTCAGTGTTATTGCACAGTGTTGTAGCGAAAGGGAGAGGTCATGGAGTTTCCTGCTTCTGTCAGGGAGGAGATGTCCCTTTCTCCTAACTCTTATCTCAGATCAAGAAAATGGACTAAATGATCCCTTGAGGTCCCTTTAAGTTTTACATTCCTTCATAATATTTTGAGAAATGTTCTGTCCGTAAAGAATTGCATTTGTATTTTTTAAGAACAAGGAAAAAACATGCACGTTTATGAAAATCCCTGCCACTGAGGTGTAGCCAAGATGTTAGTTCAAGATACCAGTGCTACATGCCTGCCAAACAAACCACGAATAATTTTACTAAGATTTTTTTTTTCATATATTTACTACCATTCACTTGCTCTAAACAACAGTTTTTGAGGTGGGTTTTCGGTTTTGGTTTGGTTTTTTTTTTAAACTAACCACTTCATGTTAATGAATCACAGTCTTGCCCAATTTTGATTGCTATCTATGATTAAGACTTCATTATCCTTCTTCTCTAATGTACTTTGATTCTGATTGTAAACATAATGTACGAGACCAAATCTGTTTCTGAGAATGATATATTAATGTGCAAGCTGTCACATCAGGTGGGGAGATGTTGCAAATGCTTCGGTTCTGGAACACAGCACCAAACCGTCTCAGTAGGACTGTGAGCTGCACCAACAGCTTGCCTGCGAGATAAATGCTTATAAAGATCTGCAGGGTGGGTGTCAGGAGGACGGGGCCAGACTCTGTCCAGTGGTGCCCAGCGACAGGACAAGGGGCAACGGGCACAAACTGAGGCACAGGAAGTTCCAGCTGAACCCGAGGAAGAACTTCTTCCCTCTGAGGGTGACGGAGCCCTGGCCCAGGCTGCCCAGGGAGGCTGTGGAGTCTCCTTCTCTGGAGATACTCAAGACTTGCCTGGACGCGGTGCTGTGCAGCCTGCTCTGGGTGACCCTGCTTGGGCAGGGGGTTGGACTGGGTGACCCACAGAGGTCCCTGCCAACCCCCACCATTCTGGGATTCTGTGATTCTAAGATCCTTACCCTTCAGGAGTGAGGACACGAGAAAGGATCTGTCACTATTAAGAGACGTGTGCCTAAAAGCAAAGGAAGGCTTTGTGGGTAGCCGCTCAGTGTTTTGCATGCTGTCAAAACCGAGGAAGGTACAAAAGTCATGAAATAATGCAGGGAAATGTTTCTGTGGCAGGTGTGAAAATTTGGAAAGAAGTAGGCTGGCCAAGTCTAAGTGCGTTTGGAATTCATGTATGGCTTTTCGTTAATTGCTTTCCAGACTTAGTTCAAAAGACTTTTTTCTGCTTGGAAAAAAAAAAAAATCTTGATTCCTTTTCTGTTGGCGTGTAAGATTCGGATCGCTTTTTGACACTTTAAATGGCACGATTTGGATGACCGAGGCTGGCATTAAATCGTGCAAGTGGTCAGAGGTGTAGCTGATTCTCTGTTGTAGATCACTGTCCTAGAGTTAATGTTCTTCTTTACAAGGCAGTTCAAAGTTAGTGTGAGGTAAACTGTTCTTAGTAAGTTGTAAAAGATCAGATTGTCCGTGCTGATAAACACAGAATCACAGAATCACAGAATAGTAGGGGTTGGAAGGGACCTCTCCTCAAATACCAGCCGTTTTAGAGGCGAGTAGAAGAACCCAGCTGCTGGCTTTGTCTAGCGTCTTTTCAGAGGCGCATAAACCTGACATCATGGTGGATAGTACTGGAATTGAGGTCGGGTTCAGGTCTGGTAAAGAATTCATTCTAAGCTGCTAGTTGGATCCTAGAATATCTTTTACCTCTCCTTTCATGGAAAGACCTTCCAAAAACCATTGGGGTGTGTTAGTCTGTTCTGCCAAGTTTGGTGTTATTTATCTCCAACCCCAAATTGTAACACTTAATGATGCTGTGAGAGTTGCTTTGCATACCATGGACATGTGTTGTAGTGTGGTTTCGACATTCCTTGTGCAGCTCACCTAAAATAGCCGTGTAGAATCCTTGGGTTTATCTTCTGGAAGAAAGCTGGAGACATTTCTGTGGTGACTTTCAGCTACAAGGTAGCAATTTGCTAGTCTGTAATGCAATTCAAATTGGATTGTGTCTTCTCTTCGATAAGACTTTTGATTGCACCATTTACCCCTGTTGATACTGACCTGTTGCCTTAATGAAAAATTACTGGTTGTCCGATTTTTGGTTTTCTTCAGAATTGACTGGGCACCAGTAGATGGCATCCTCAGCTGGGTTTAGGGAACAGTTATGGAGTTTGGGCGGGGTGAATGGAAATGTAGACATGCACACATGAGCTACATGGATAGATAATTTTTACAGGAATATATTGCAAAGCTGTATTTAATCTTTCTCGTGAAAACTTTACAAGCGACAGCCTGTAGTTTACCAGAATGGCTGCTGTGAATGCTTGTGCGAAGGCTGAGTGAGAACCTTAAGGGTGCTAAAAAAAAAAGCATCACAAAACACACACACACAGAAGTTAAAAGAAAACCCCTTAATAACATTAGTAGAACAAATTTTGGATTCTTTAGGCTGCCAGTTTCCTTGTGGTTGTAAAAGATGGAAAAGATCTAATGTTCTTTCTTTCTAGGTCCCGACTTTGTTGTTTGTGATGAAGGGCACATACTAAAAAACGAAGCATCTGCTGTTTCTAAGGCAATGAATTCTATTCGATCTAGGAGAAGAATAATTCTTACAGGAACACCACTGCAGAATAATCTTATAGAATGTGAGTAGTTCTCTGGTTCAAGAAGTGTTGATTTCCTTGAATAAACTTTTGCCTTTCAGCAATACGTAGATTTAGTTTGACTAGAAGAAAGGAATTTGATGCGGTGAAGCTGTTTGCTATGTTTCTATATCTAAAAAAATATATATCTAAAAAAACACCTTGCAGTCTGGTTTTGCACTTTGCATTTTAAATCGTTGTCTCAAGACGTGTGTCTGTGATGGTTTAAGTCAAATTAAGATGAAGCTGTTGGGAATCTGACCTCTCCTCCATCCTTTGCCGTGGCGTGGCCTTGCACACATCTGATTCCCCAGCAAGCCTCTGTGAGGAGTGTCAGAAAATCAACAGTGCGGACCTGAACAGCTTTCTGACAGTGGAGTTCCTTGAGCTGGGTAGCCAAAGGATGGGATGAGTCTCCGCATGTCAAAGGGGAAGGGAGAGAATGTTCAGAGGGCAAATGGGTGGACCAGGTCCTGCAGCAGCATCAGTTTAAATTGTTCTAAACCGTTGCAGAGCAGTGTTCTTAGTGAACTTACTGACCAGGGATTTATGCTACTGTCTTGGGAATTTCATTCTAAACTAGCTTGTAACATTTGCTCCTGTTTGTTAATGTGCTGTAATGTTTGTTTCCTGTTGATTAATATGCTTTTGAATCTATTTAAAAATCTGTGCAGATATGATTTTGTTATATGATTGTTCGGTGTACAGCAGCTTTCAAAATTTGTGTAACAAACATGATGAGGTAGTTTTAAATCTGACATTCAGTGTTACCTCTGTGCCTGGGGTATGTGTCCAGTTAAGATGCCCTTTCTGGAAAATGCTGGGGTTGTTTGGGGTTTTTTGCTCAACAGAACGTTCTTGGGTTTAGATGTGGCACATGTATTTTCTGTTAGAATTATTCCCAGTACTGTATTTTCCATTTTGGACAACTCAAGTCTGATCTTTTTGTCCTAGATCACTGCATGGTTAACTTTATTAAGGAGAACTTGCTTGGTTCAATTAAGGAATTCCGAAATCGATTTATAAATCCAATTCAGAATGGTCAGTGTGCAGACTCCACTCTGGTAGATGTCAGAGTGATGAAGAAGCGTGCACATATTCTCTATGAGATGTTAGCTGGATGTGTTCAGGTAAGAACAGTTTTACTATAACTAGTTACCTGAATTAGCTGCGGGGACAGGGAGGAGTTACTTCATCTCATTCTGATAAAAGCACTCAAAGGCCTGTAAACTTGGTATTTGAGAGCTCCATTGATTCCAGCTGTTACTTTTGACCTAAATATTTTCACGAATTGCTAGATCTCCATGTTATTTATTGTTACTAAAAAAAACTTAGAAAAATTTCATTGCTTTTATCCAAATGTCAGTGTATCCTAAGCAGTTCTTAAGCTCTCAGTAGTCATTTTCATGTTTGTGTGGCTAAAGTACTGTTTGTAAAATTACAGAGGAAAGATTACACAGCATTAACGAAGTTCCTCCCACCAAAATATGAGTATGTTCTAGAAGTTCGAATGACACCTATTCAGTGCAAACTCTACCAGTACTACTTGGATCACTTGACAGGTATGTGCCTGCAGTTCTTCCAGGTAACACGATTGATGGGCATTCAGAAAGGGGCCTTTTGCCATAGTTGGTAGGTTGGGGGTTGTTTGCTTTATGGATGTATTTTTCTGCTTCCTGTAAGATTTACCTTAACTCTGAAACTTCAGTTTATAGCAAAACATTTGGTTGCGCATAAAAATATTTTTTGAGAAATAAGAATATTTGCATCTCTTAACAGTAGTCCACCTTCAGGTTTTGGTTCATCTCGCTCTTCTTCCTTTTCTAAACGTAAAATGTAATTGATTTAATGTCTTACTCTTCCGAGAAACAAGGTACTGACTGTAAGACTGGAGGGGGAGAATGCAAAAGTGAGATGTACTGGTGTAAGCCTGCTGCCAAGCCTTGCAGTTTCCTTTTGTCATTATGCCAGCTGAAGCCGTTATTTGTCAAATATTGTCTCTTTTGTTCTCAAAACATGCAAGTCTGGTTTTCACAATGACTGTGCTTTTATCAGCTTTCAGTGGGACCTTGACTGGTCTGTATTGGGGACCTGCATCTTCCCAATAAAACGTAAATATGTTTAATTGAAAAGGTATACAAGGAAAAAAAACCCAAAATATGTTACTGTGGGCTGCTGTGCTGTTCACTTACATTAGAGATAAGCCGCTGCAGCTTGTGATTTTAGTATATCAAGGTCCTGGAATATCAACACTTTGAAATGACAGACACACACGTACCATGCAGGCTATTGGAATGGTAATCTCGAGGAGCTCTTAGTGAGGTTTTCTGTACCACTGTGCTTCGTGCAGCCAGATTCCTCAGCAACACTTTTTGGGTTCTGGAGCAATTCTGTTTTCTTAAATACCATCTGTAATAATTGACTTAATGATCAGGGGTTGAATTTCCATAGTCAGGAACAGTACTTCAAAACAGTATGTAAACAAGCCCAAACCTTTATGTGTAGTCCTGATTGTCATTAGTTCTGTACTGCAGTCTGTTCTGCGTTGTCTCTTTATAGAAATGTTCTGAAAAGCGGGTGATTTGTGTTCTCTTTATTTCTGCATCATGCTAAATGCCTTTGAAAAGCCAGTACCTTAAAAGCGGCAAGCATTAGCTATTCACGTGTATCTAAGTGGTTTAGGTTAAATCTTTGTAGCTCTTCGTAGGAGCTTTTTAATCACAAGAGTTATGTTAGTTTGCTAGGTTATCTTTGGCCAATTTCCAGTACAAAGCGGGGCTGGTTTTGTAGTTTCAGACTCTCCCAACACTGGCTTTGTTGGTCTGTCGTGCTTTTAGATGGCAATGTAAATCTTTTACAGGTCATTGATTAGCATAAGAGCTAGTGCTGTGTGTTTGCAACTGTTTTACTCTTTGCAGAAGTCTTTACATACAATGGCTTTCAGTACTTCCTTTTTTAATAAAGCAGGTAGCAGAGAAGAGGAATTAGCCCCTAGACCAGTGTCTGTTAAGGGAAGGATTTGCTCTGGCAAAAAGCCTGTTACAGTGAGCTTCACATTTGCTACGTTGTTGGAGCCATTAATTTATTAACACGTAGTATGAGTAACTAACTGTAAGAAAACACACTGCCTGGCAGGTAGTTTAATTAATCTGCCTCGACTTTAAGGACTCAACAAAATTATTTGAGTTTAGCTAAGTTTGCGTTTGTCAAAAGCAGTTGTGCTGTTTTGTGACCTGCCAGCCCTTTGTGGGCTGCTTAAACCCCCTAAACCAGTGGAAAGCATTATCTGCGCGCTCTGTCTTCATCTTCATCCTGCCGGCGTGGTCAGCTCAGTGCCAGAGACGGCACGAGGAAGAAGAGGGAAAACAAGAGAGGGGAAAGGCAAACGGCTGCTTTCAGAGGGGAGCAAGCTGTCTGAGCTGAGCACAGCTCAAGCCTTCAGAGCACATCTCTGTGCTGGTTGCTGATGTCCACATTATTCTTTGCATGACTTTTGTATTTCGTAAGAAGATGATGTGCTTTCTGATTTTCATTAAATAAAAAAGGGAGTCTTGCTACTGAAGATAAATATAGAAGGGGAATTGCTGCTTCTCATCTGCAAATTTTCAGAATTACATTTTTCTGTGAACTGTAACAGGCATAAATTGAAGTACCCATTTTAGATGCAATTTTACCAAGTTTTTCCTTCATTTAATGAAAATGATACATGTTTTCTTTCACTTCTGTAATACAGAAAATTAAAAGGTCTATTATAGGACTTGTTAACTTGAAACCTGTTAACAGCAAGTTTCCCTGTGATGCTGGCTCGGGTTTAGGGAAGGCGAATCTAAGAATTGCTGTTGTCCTTACAATTCCATTTCCCAAAGTCATAGGGGAGCATAAAGGGGAAGATACTCAAAGCAAGAACTTGCTGTGTTAAATACTTCTACACTGTAGGCGTTTACTGGGATTGTCCTGTGCATTGAGCAAATGCACCAAATAAGCTTTGTGCCTGTTTTGCCGTAGACATTTGATGATTGTGATGCAGTAAATACTATTTTCTTGCAGGTATACATGCCTTAAATTATCCATACACTAAATATGAAAAAAAGTCTGTTTCCAGAACCTAAAATTAAGGCGCTGCTTAATGAGAAACTGAGACTACAAAAAAGAAATACAGCTCTGAACACTGTACTACTGTGCACTAATTTGTGCTTGGACAATGAAAAAATAGGCTGGTCTTTTTTTAGATTCTTTATTGTAACAGCATACTGCAGCATTACAAGTCATTAAATAAAGGTAGCTCAAAATAGTAAGCCAAATTCATTGGAAACTAAATGCAAATTTTATTTTGTGTTTTCTACCTTGGGCTGCTTGAACAAAACCTAAATAGACATGACTGTCCTTTTAAGAGGGTTTGGATTCGTTCCTGTGCTGGGGAGAAATGTGCTTTTATGTAAAAATGTCATCATGTTTCTCATTATCAAGAAAAAGGGGAAAATCTAATTTTGACAACTTTAGGAAAAAAATGCCTGTGACTCGGTAATTTGACCTCTTTTACAAGAGACCTTACAACGTGATGTGCATCTGGAAAGAACACCATGTACCACACTAACGGGTTGTTCAAAGGGGGAGCAGCGTGCGGCAGACTTACTTCAAGGTTGCATTCTAAAACCTGAACTTTATTGTCAGGTGTAGGTGGTGGCAATGAAGGTGGAAGAGGCAAAGCTGGAGCTAAACTGTTCCAGGATTTCCAGATGTTGAGCAGAATCTGGACTCACCCTTGGTGTTTGCAGCTGGACTATATTAGCAAAGAAAATAAGGTAAATTAGATATATCAAAATACTCCATTGAGAACTTTCCAAATGAGCTGTGCCAAATGCTAGGTAAAGTTTCGTCACATTAATGGAAATCTTTGTTGCTGTGGGGTAATTTCGCTGCTGTTTTTGTCGTATTTTTGTTTCTGGGTATGTTGTCATTCTTAAAACATTTTGCAAGGCCAACCCTTTGTAGAATTTCCTATTGTTCAAATGAAGAATTAAGCAGATGGCTAAAGGTTTAATAAAAGCTTCTGGATGAGCATACTTAATACAATTTCTGTTTTTTCTTTTTTGAGGGCTATTTTGATGAAGACAGTCTGGATGAGTTCATAGCTTCAGATTCCGATGAAACTTCAATGAGCTTAAGTTCTGATGATTATGCAAAGTAATTGAGCTTTTATTTGTTATTGTTTGTTTGTTTTATTTCCTATAATGATGTTGAAGTCATTAAAGTCTGGAATTCAAGATCTCGTGGAGGTGGAGAAGGAAATGCAGAAGAACTTGTAAACAACCCTCCATCTGTTACAAAATGAAATGAAGGTGAGTAGAAAAGACAACTATATAAAATCCGAGGCAGCTTCATTTTGCAGAAGGCGGTTTGAGAGGGCTGTTAGGAATTCTGCTGTGTTGCAAAATAGCAAATTTCTTAATTCCATGAACTGCTTCTGTGCTTACGGCTCCCACTGCTTCTAATAATATACTCGACCTGGAAAAACAAGGGGCATCAATTTAGAAGTGAGGGGTCTTATGGTAGGGAAGCTGCACAGTTAATTTTTTTAATTCATAAATACAAAACGATACAAAGTTAACAGAGGAACTGTGCTGCTTTTCGTCTCTTCTTAAACATATTGCTGAAAGATCAATGGAAAGATGAAGAAGTACGCATGTCAGTCATTGTTGCACCTG